AACCTATGACTGTTCATGCTTTACGTCTTGTCGAACTTACTCAACGTATTTCTGCTGTGATGAAATTTAATGAAACTGAGGAAACTTTGTTACATGATCCAATAATGAACGTTTTTCGAATGTTTGGTCAATTAAATTTTGTCAATATTAAGGCTAATCTTACAGTTCGACAAGACGTAAAGCATGAACAGTCATAGGTTCATTATTATTATTACTATTATTATTATTATCATTAATATTAATTGAATCAGTCATTGGTCTTGATGATCTATCAGGAGTAGCTTCACTATTCCTCCGAGAAATAGCTTTAGGAAATAAAGGAAATGGTTGTAATAATTGTACCAACATCATCATACCAGGTAACCATTCAATTTTATTTAAAACAACCAATAAACGTTTATTCTTGGATAGATCAGTTAGTGTATCGTCAGATGCACGAGATTCTTTCCAAGAATCACCTTCAATCGAAGTAGTGACATGACCGGCCCGTATACGTTCCATCATTCTTCTATATTTTCTTGGATAAAGCCACATAGCGAGAGGAGTCGTGGTACATGTGATTATAAGGGCACTATTAAAATTTAGTGGAAATGATTATTAAAATATAAAAATATATATAAATATATAATATGAAAAGATAAAAAAAAAAAGATATATAAAAGAAAAAGATATATAAATATAAAAAATATATATATATATATATATATATATAAAATACATACACAGTCACCATAATTACGAAAACTCTGTCGTTGATCACTCGGGCATCATAGCCAATATTAAGTACGATCAATTCAACCAGACTTTATAAAAAATGAAATTGGCATCATCACTTATAAATAAAGCGAGTAACACGGGTGATCAAAAGGTATGCAATGAAATAATTTGAAAAGAAAATAACCCTTTACAACTCATGAAAACACCGATGGTAAGAGATTCTCTCCAGGTTAGCTTGTTTAATCTAGATGCGATGGTGGCACCAGTGATTTTACCAAACATATCGGCGCAAATCACCAAAAGAAGCCAACCCCATATACGAAGATCATTCAATAAACCGAGTTGAGTTTTAAGACCAGAAAGAGCAAAATACTACATTAAATAAAGAAAATAAATAAATAGACTAACATTAATACTACATTAATGATACATTAATGCTTAAATTAAAAAAAAAAAAAAAAAAAACTTACAATTGGCAAAAACAAAACGCTGACTACATCCTCAATCTTTTCAGCAATGCTTATCGCAAAACCACTCTCATGCGGTACAATTACACCAATAATAAAAGCACCCTATTCAGAATTTAAAGAGTTAACAATAGTCACAGGTGCATATAAAAAGAAATTTCAAATATAACCCATACGAAAATGTAATGAACTCCAATGATATTCGTGACAAAGGCGGATATTAAAACTAACGTTAACGTAATGGCCACCATTGTTACTGACGGACCACCAAAATCATTACTAAATTTTTTTTTAAAAAAATTATATAAAAAAAAAAAAATAATAGATAAATTTTTTTAAAAAAAAAACTAGAATAAACTCAGAATAATTTCAAAAAAAAAATTAAATCAGACCTGCCGGTTCTAATAATAAGCATCATTAAAATTGGACGAATGACCAATCCTACAAACAAAGTCCAACCGGCACAAAGCAAGAAAGTGTAAAGAGCAGTAAGGGCATTCGTAGCATTTATGATGGAAACCACTAAGGCAAGAAGTACCCAAGCAGCGATGTCATCACCAACAGCGGAAGTAAGAGCAGTGATTCCACTTTGAAAAAGGAAGGAAAAAAAAAAAGGATAAGGTTAGAATAAAAAATGACAAAAAAAATAAAATAATTTATAAATCGAATTATCAGTACACTGGTGTCCTAAGAAGTTTAAGCTCGGACAAGATACGAGCAAGTACGGGAAATGCCTGAAAATCAAAAAATTAATTATTGCAGGCAGATGAACACAAAAGAAAGACGATAAGCGTACCGTAATTGACATGGCGACACATATAAAAAGCATGAAACTCGAAAAAGGGACACTGTTATCATTGTTCAAATAATGATACAATCCATAACTCACACCAATACCAAGAGTGAAAGGTAAACAGATGCCAGCAGCAGAGATAGTTAATGCAGTTTTTGCATTTGAAATCAACATTTTAGGATTTAATTCAACGCCGATAATAAATAAAAAGAGGATCAAACCCAAATTCGCAAGTAAATTAAGGTAGGTTAAAGATTCATTAGGAAATATAACATTCATATATCCAGGGATGTGACCCATGACCGAAGGACCTAGGATAATACCGCCTATGACTTCGGATATGACGCGAGGTTGGCGAAAACGCGAGAGAGCAACATTGAGAACACGAGTGAAAACTATGATGAGGACGATCTGTTACACGAAACGGAAAAGGAAGGAAAAATTGTAAACATATCGATATAATATTTAAATAAAAAATTTAGTAGTTAATAACGATAATCGAAGGACTAACCTGTATTATCACGAGCGTTAAAGGATCATCTGGATTGAAATCTGTAGGCTTATGGCCAGAAGTTACACTGCTTTGCTCTTTTACCATTTTTTTTCTTTTCTACATGGAAATATCACGTGATCACGGGGAAATGCCAATATGAGTAAACAATAACAAAAAAAGATGAGCAATTACGATTTATTATTCTCAAGACCAGTCAATGGAGAATAGCGCGATATCAATAGGAATGGCTGAATAAGTCATATAACAAAAATGTTATGGCGACATGGCTTTTTCCAATAAATTACAGCTTAGTTTAGCAACAAATATCGTACAAAACCAAACTTGTAGTAAAGATAGATTTTTTAAATTCAAAGAAATGAAATTTTTGATCATGAAATTTCCGATCATTTTTATAATAAAAAGAAGCACGATGGGCGTTACTATATGACCATCTTAAGGGACCATTTTTCGTCATCGTCATTTGTCAGTAACGTTACACCAGCGTGTGGTGTGTCAGTTTAATGTGTCAGTACGTACGAACATCTGACATAGCCAATATGCATAATGTAGATATAACGATAATTTATTAAAATTTTATTTAACATAGATAAAATTTAACATATATATATTTATACGTATTTTATTGCTAAATACGAAACATAAAGTTTCTTTTTTCATTCAGTCATTGAAATACGATAATATGTATGTACATTAAAAAGATAATTTTTTTAAATTGCTTTTTTTCGTACGTATTAAATAAACTTATATTTGTAAAATTTTTTTTTAAAAAAACAAACGTGATATTATTTTGAAGTGTGCATCAAAAACAATAATTTATGAAAAATTTTTATTTAATTTACATATATCTATACCAAACAATCGCTACGTATTATTATTTAAATAAAAATTTAATCAACAGTATCTATCGCTATGCTTGGGGATTATGTAAATTAGATATGTATCTGACATACTAACGTGACACAAATGACGGTATAACAGTTATAACCTTACCTAAAGTGAGATACTCTAAGTAACATATATTATCAAATGTTACTAATTCAGTAACTAACAATATTTTAAACGTTAGAATTGTTTAACCTACGATATGACCTACCTATAATTTATTTTTGATAGAGTTCATTATTTGATCTTTTTGCTGTATCATACAGAATAATAATAATTCTAAATACAGAAAATCAAAGGGTCAAAAAAAGGTTCCTCCAAATATTTAGATTTGGTGACCAAATACTTAGACCTGGTGACCCAAATGTCATTCGCCAAGGCATAGAACATGTAACAAAACATAATCAACTAAAATGGCTAGACTTACCCTAAAAAATCATTGGAACAAGCCTTTTACGTACGGATGTACGTACGTACGTATGTCGTAGAAAAAATTGAGATAAAATTTCGTTATCGTTATAATTTTACACATGCATGCATTATTATTGTATACAAAAATATACCCATAAGTCGTGAAGAAAACGGAGTTATCTTTCCGAAGATCCGAAAAGATAGATATTTAAAATGGTTAGATGCAATCTATATCTAGAGAAGTGTTCTCATCAGTACTCTAACCGCTGAAATAAATAAAGTTCACTAATTTCTGGGTTTGGCTGGTATTAATCTACAGGGATATTTTTGCTCCTGCCAAATTCAGGTATGCTATGGTCCCGGTACTAATGAAAACTCCCATGACAGAAAGTTTATTACGTAAGGTATAAGAAGCATAATGGCAGATCATGCTATTTTGTCTAAACTACATTCTGACTAGAATATTTCCGACCAAACATATTCTCACTACGTAACATATTTCAACTGCAGTAACATTACGTAAAAAAATTTTTGATAAAAGATAATTAGCTATACTGATTCTGCAATACGCATTATAACAGATAATATCACGTGAAAGGTTTATCTAACGAATTTATGACATAAATATTAACCAATAGTTACATAGTTATACGCAAGAAAATTTTAAATAAAATTTGATTGGCTAAAATCGATATATAGAAACTACTATAAATGTATAAATAATATGCGGGGTTAATTTGTTAAAAGAAAAATTTCGATTATAATAAATACCGATACAATAAATAAATATGCACGTGCTTGCTTATTATTCTATTGTTATGCCCAAAAAAAATCAGAACAAAGAAATAGATTATCTAGAAGCAAAGTGATTCATATTTGCTACAGAGCATTCAAGCTAATTACAGTTGTCACATCATAATTTGAAATTCTTTTCGTTTCATGTTGAAAATTTCCCACAGATTAATGCACTTCCAATTCATTAAGCATTTATCCGAATAATTATCGGGTACCCAGATTGATATCTGGATATCTGAGCGATTTGGATAATACGGATTTACTGTATCCGAATTGGAACTCTAGTTAAGATCAAAAATATCGGTAAAAAATCAGTATCTTATATGTAACTTATTATAGTTACACATTCGTATTATGGATTGCAGAATGGGATCCGTTATGGC